TATCATCTTGAAGTGCTACAATCCACTAAAACCAGTTCATCAAGCAGAAATACATTTAAAATTATGCAATTTGATTAATAAATCTCTGATGTATGTGTTTTCATTAACCATATACAAAAAGACTGGAAAGGTGCAAAGCCCGCAGTTTCTGCATTTGTTCTTTGCACCTTGGCTTCCTGAATGTCCTAGCAATGGTTTGATATTGTTTTCACATTTTATTGTACTAAACGTTCATATTCATATTATGACATCTTCCATATCCTTGACTTGAACTTTGAAGGATGTATAGAATATAAATACATTCTAATTGAAATTCTAATGATATACTGACAATGTTCAGACAACATTCCAGTTAAGACAATTAACACTTTAGTCTTGTAGTGAAGATTGCTGTCTTCCGGGTTGTTGTGCCGTGTAGTCTGGTAGATTTCCACCGTTTCAGAGGTCATACTGCCTCCATCATCAGGGCGATGAATGTGTCTTGTGGTCATTGCTCTAATAACAACATTCCAAAATTAATATTTAACATTTTAATGCTGAGAGGTAATTGTGTGTACCACCACCTTTAATGTTCCATTCTATTTCATTCTATTCAGTAATTCTGCATTTTACCCACAGAATATATTTATGGGTTTCATTTTATTCTCAAATTACACAGCAGTTATTTCCTTAAACAGCATCAACAACAGATCTTTGTGATGGAGATAGTTTTCTTTTTCAGGAGTAAGAAAATTTTTAATTATTTGAACTTAAAACCCAAAAGGTTAATTATTGAGTTAAGTGTGAACAGTGAATCCAACCAAATAATGTTGCAACTCTCAATTATACTCGGCTGCAATCATTACAGCTGTGCACCATCTCTTCTTATAATGTACTGTAGCTCATAAGTTGGTGCTCTTGTCTCATGCACAGATGATCTTATGATCAAATCCAACTCAGGTCAATTGCTTTCATCACTTGCACCTGTAAATATGTCAGAAAATGTTGTTACTTTAGAGGGGACAGAGAACTTATATACACACTTGTATGTCAAATTTGTCGAGCATAACCTCAAAGTTTCGTATTGTCACCATGTCGGTAACTGTAAACTTACAAGCAATACTTCATGCTATTTGTAGGTATAATACATTTACAATCTATCTCTGTACAAAATTTCAAATGTCTACCTATAATGGTTCATTAGTTATCACAGTCAAACATAAATCTGAATAAAATATTTGTAAAACTGCCATGTTGTTGCTTTACATTCTACACAAAAATCACAAAATAATGATGTTCTTCTGGATCGAGATCCCATATGGACCTAAAGAAGTCTATCTATGAGTCCTCATGACTTCACAACACAAAAGGACAATATTGTTATCTTCACTGCTATGAGAACCTCACATTTCACATACCTTAACAAACGTTGCATATTTTATTATTTATTGCCATAATTTCAGGGCCCTACATTAAGTAGTGCTAGTGTTGTTACCACCTTACTAGTTTAGCTTACACCATATTGTTAATGCCTATTTTAGAAAATTAAACAGTACAAGTTTGGGGTTACCTTTAATAGCATAACATAATCAAATTTCACCACAACAAACCCTAGAGTTCTTGATCTGAAACTTACAAAGAGAATTGCAAAACATGTGCATTTTATGTGCATGTGGCAAAGAATGCAAAATAACGGAAACAGTATGGGTCATGTTCCACCACATCCAATTAATACCTCCACCAACTGGATGTCAACAATTTACTCACAACGCATGAAAACTTTCTCAATTTGGCTTCATTCCATAGCATCAACAAACTCCCAGGCTTTCCAGTTTAAAGCTGTCACCCCAAAACATAACATATTAACAGGGTTTACCAAGAACATGAGTGTAGAAGATGTTGCATAGTGATCAGAATGGTCATAAAGGAGGACAAATCAGAATTTTTGAGCTGTCCTTGTTCTTTGTACAACATTGTGTATAAACACCATGCCACTTGTTCAATCTGAGCTCTCAAAGTGACTAAGTATAATAGCTCTTCTTGGGCTACCAGCAGTGTAAGTTGGATTAATGAATAAAACATCATTTCAAGATCCAGGGTACCCTGAGGACGAGGGCAAAGACGGTTCTCGAAAGCCAACTTACATAGCTGGTATAGCCTGAGAATAATTTATTATACCATGCCATTCTATTGCATGACTAAAACTGTGTTATCAATTTTTCTGTTAATGTAACCCTACAAGAACCATTTTTCTTCTGAATCCACATTGCTATACAATGGTCTGAATACAAAACAAAATCTAATCAGAATCTGTAGGTTCCTGATGATGTAAAATTATTATTTTGAACTTTGTCCATCATCAAATTATAAAATAATAAAACTACAACATTTTGAAGTCTGGATTCTGCTTGTCTTCTGGCTAAAA